ATTACATTAATACTAAAATAACCTTATTGCTACTAAACAGACACATCTTGTGAGAAAAAGTTTCTAAGATATCACACTAATCTCTGTTACTTGTGTGAGTTGCCCAGATTGGGGAGAATACATTTTTAGTATCGGACTTTGTCGATACTGAGGTACAAAGGATTACATCTGTCTTAATTCACTTCACATATACAACTCTCAGAATTTTCATACAAGCAAAATGCACCAAGATGTATGTTAGATTGCCTGGAATCTACTTCCTTTACAGTTTATGACTAGCTAACTTGCCTCTGTAAGCATGTGCGTACAGCTTTAATGCTCAGTGATTCACACACACTCAGGTGAATACATGCATTTGATTTTGTCCACAAAGTTTAGTGCAAGTTCACCAAATATATTCCTATAATACCACTTGTAACATACTTCTTGAGGACTTGGAGAATTTCCAAAACTGGTAAATGTAACTTTCAAGAGCAGATCAGAAAACCTATCCCACTCTAAGAAGTACTAGTAACGCATCAGGAAGTTGGTTTGTGCATACATGCACAAGGAGAGGGCACATAAGCTTTAATATTAAAATACTTCCACTGTACTCTGAGTGACTTGATTGCAAATTAAGTTTTCCAAATGAAAATACCTCCTCAATTTCCACTTTTGAAACCTTGAATGGAAGAGCTTTACATGCCAAGATAAATCAGCATGGGGCCACTATTCTGACAATCCCTATCAATAACTTCTGAGGAGGCCAAATCTCTAATGTGAGCAGGTGCTCAGTGTAAATGCCTTGGAGTTCAAAGAAGCATCTTTATAACAGACAAATTACTCATGATAGAGAGTAGCAACAATAGGTTCAGAACCACTAAATACCAACTGAGGTACAAAGAAAACAGGAGAAAACCAAGTTTAGAGTTCTTCAGAATACATACCAATTTGTTTTCCAAGCATGCCAGGTCTGGAGCACAAAGGTCTCACACCATGTGCAAGGACACTCTCTTCTGCTGTTCAAAGTTTCTTTCCCACTGCTCTAAAACTTCACTGTCTAAGAAAAAGTCACATTTCTCTATTTCTTATACAATTATTAACTTTTTATCCTAGGTGGCCAAAGTTCAAGGAATTACTGGATTATAGAGAATACATGTGTACAAACCAACCCTATAGACTTAGACATAAATCACAGTTGCAAGACAATTTGGAGTCCATTTTAATAACATTACTAACCTAGTTAAAATTACCTTTGCTCAGCATCAATGGTAATCCTTGTGGGATGACCAGTATCTCTTAGAAGAACACGGCGTTTTTTCCCACTGGTGTCTGTCACTTCAATGATTGCTTTCTGTTTATTAGCCCAAAGGATATGTTGATGTATCCAGTCAATAGCAAATGCTGAAACACCTTTATCTATGTAACACAGTCTCTGTAAACAAAAAAAGTTGACAATAAGAAGCTTCCCACATAATATCCCAAATGTGACTTGCATTACATAAACCACAGTGACATTTCATTTATTCCTTTCCTTTCAGACCAACAGAAACTTTCTTATCTTTGTACTAGCACCCACACCCAGCACCCAGCACTGTCTGACCACCTCAGAGAGGGAATATGCTCTCCAGGGGAAATAAATAAATTGACTGATCTTTTAGCTAGAAGCATTCCCTGTATTTGACACACTATGAAGTACCCAGATCTGTATGGTTACAGATGGAAGACTACCTGGCGCACTGCTGCTGGATCTAGATCCTTAAAAATCAGCTTGAAATACATCATCTCTTCACGGAAACAGGAACCCTGGAAATCTCTCTCAAACCAAAAAAAGGCTTTCAGCCACAACATCCTGTCTTGCCCTCTTAATCAGAGGTACAGCTTTTTCTGAACAAAAGGTGCAGTGCTGAGAGAAGCCTTTGGGCAACCATAGAAACCAATAAAAGGCCTGAGAGAGGGAAAGTAGGAATTCAAATACATTCTCCTCATACCATTTGTGCCAGTTTGAGTTACAGCACTCTGAAAGGTGAACTTCCATAATGCCAATGATTAATCTAAAAAACATTATTGTCTTCAAATGTCTTGATTGTTTTTTGTAAATTTCTTCTCTTCGATTCCATTCACTGTGGAAGTCAGTTAAACAGCACAGACTCAGGCCTTCCTGACACTTACCAGAACCATCACAACAGCAAATATTATTTAAATTATCAAGTGCCAATGAATTAACAGGATTGTTTCAGTAGAGGGTATAATATTCAGCAACTTGGGGATTTCAAGAGAATTGATTACCTTACCTCTTGTTTTGTGCCATTTAAGTGAATTCTTTGCAGAAGACGCCTTTCAGAGTCAACCCAATACACTTTCTCTTCTGCATAATGGAAGTCTACAAGCGTTGACTGACCAGTATCAGCAACCAGCCTTTCATGATTCGTCCCTTCTGTGTCAATTCTGAAGATGGCATTTCCATGGCTGAAAAGTAAAAAAGGTGCAGGGTCTGGTGAGGAGAAAAAAAAAATTAGACATACATGGTACTTTTGCCAAATTAAATTCTCGTTAGTATTTTTCTAGTTATAGCAAACATTCAGGACCCAAACATCTAAAAGTCCAATCTGGACTTTTCAAGGTATTTCCCAGTTACAACAGCTGCTTCTAGGATGCTAATGCCATCTTTTTCTGCTGCTATTTACACTGAACATCACCATGTGAGAATATTTTAACTATGAAGATTTGTTTTACGTAGATAGTAAATGAATGCTGAAGTGCAGCAAGGATGATTTATCTCAGGAATTTGGCAGCTACTTGCATTTTACCTATTATTTGACAATCAATGTATATATACTTGGTTCTGCCCTTCTCAGACTCTGAGTTTTCCATCAGGGTCCTGTGAACTCATGTTCATGGATCCAAAGGCCACATCCAGAGGGACCTGAGTGCATCCCATACTCTGGGGTCACAAACATAACCTGCCACTCAACACCTTCACATTAAAGACAGACCCAAGTACATATTGGTCACAAAAAGAAAACTTGAACTCTTTCACTGGGAAGGAGTTAGAGAGTATCCCAGCCAGAAGCTCAAGCTCGACATGCAGGAAATCAAAATGGAGAGGTGTGAGCTGAACCTCAGAGAACAACCACCTCACATTCTAAGGAAAACTAAAGTTATTCGAACTGTGCATATTTTCCTTTCAGAGGGGCTAAAAGCTTTTAAAGCTTAAACACAAATTATGTTTTAAATCAATTTGACAATTTAGGGCAAAGGGGGAAAGAAAGAACTCATAGTACCATTTGTATTTATTAAGACCAAACCAAAAATCAGGACTTCCTGTCCAGCACTTCACAGCCTTGCCCTCAGAACAGGTATCAATGCCAACAGATTGATAGAAGCAAAGGGAGCAAAATCTTATGCAGTGCCCACAGAGCAAAATCTGCAGTGTGTGTTTTTTTCTGCAAATAGTAAGGCCAGAATAAAAGAGAGAATTTAGGGTTACAGTATGGTTAACTCCTCTCAGAGGAAGTAGATATGCTAAAGAAAGTCAAGTTTTATTTTGTTTTTTTTCTCTTTTTTTTCCCCATACATTCACTCGCCTTCCTCCCACCATATTTTCCTTTTCCTCGTCACTCCTCTGTGATATCTACTGTTCTCCTTGCCAATTACCTGCACACTTAGAAGAGGCAGTTTTTCAGTGAACAAAACAAAGAATCAGTCTGCTTCCTGCAGCTGAATTAACTCAGCATTGTGAATACGAAGAGACAAGCATGATTCACTTTGAAAAGCACGTGAACTGCTAATTAAAACTCTAAAGCTATTTTCTAGTCATTAGAAAAGAAAATCACCATACCTTTCACATAGCAAGACCATTTGTCTATATCCAAGGTATAGCCAGGCAAACAGGAGCAGATATAGGACCCTGGAACATTGACACAGCTTTGGCCACAAGTTCCCAAACCTCCCTCACGACATTCATCAATATCTGAAAAATATTTTGAACAGATCAGGATAATTCTGTTAGAAAAAGCAAGAGAGAACAGACAGAAAGATGAGCATGGATACATAAAGCTGATAATAGATTAGTTACAAAGTTCAGTTTCTCACCACTAAAAGAAGTGAACAGCTACATTGCTTCACTTACCGGTTTCAGAATTATCTTTTTGTTTGTTTGTTTTTGTATATTCAAATTTTCTTCTTCTTCTTTTTTTTTTTTTTTAAAGGAGTCTGACCAGGAAAGTTGCCTCTCTACCTAGTGACTGGGCACTCTGCACGAAAGGTCCCAGACAGGGAAAGGACTTGTCCACTACTCTGCTCCCGTATTTGCATCATCCTTTGCTGTGGAATTATGACACACTCATTACCTCTGCCTATGGCTGCTTCCTTCTATCACTATCCCTCATTCCAACAAAACAATTTTGCAACTAAATCACCAGGATTTGCAAAACATACATCTGCCAAAGCACTTCTACATTTTGAATTCAGTCAAGTCTCAAAAACACACATTATACATTAAGAACATTATATTCTAAGAGAAACAATCCCAAGCCAAACAACCATCTAAGGCAACAAGCAAATTAATTAAAAAAATGACTTTTAAAGGACAGATTTGCCCAGAACTTTTATTAATTAAAAAAAGCAGTATTTATGGTGCATACTGCATTTGAAGCACTAGCTATGAAAATGAGTAACTTATCAAAAATAAAACAGACAAATATATTTATTTATATATATATATTTAAATATATATATATGTATTGCTGATCAAGACTTAAGAGGAACTAAGAAAGAACTGCTTGCATAACCCAGAATTTGAATCACGTGCAAATCAGGACAGGGCTTTAGGAGGTCCATGAATGTTAGGTGAACATCCATCTAGTTCAAAGGAGGTCAGAAATGGCACCTCATTATTGCAAACTGGTAATCTGATCAACTCACTACAATGCTTTGAAAGGAACTTTTCCTGTTTGCACCGTCAGGTTTGTGAAAGCAAGTAAGATCCCTCACGTCCCACGTCTCCCTTAAATGCTCCTCAAACCTTCATACAGCAGAAGAGATTTTGCTGTTGTTGCTGTTGTTTGGTTGTTTTTGTCTGTTTTGTTTTCTCTGACAAATGGCAACTATTAAAAAAAAAAAGAAAAAGAAAAGAAAAGAAACACCACAGCCATTTACAGCCTTTTAATGTGACTGTAGAGTTAGGGAATACTCTTTACAGAGTTGCTCCACAGTTTTTGTTCCACATGCACAATAAGGTACTTTGACAATGTATGAAACATAATCAGAGCACTAACTAAGGTAATGATAAGGTATGTTTCATATATTATCGAGTTGCACATGCAACTAATTTTTGTTTTAACAGATTAGAAATGTAAAACGGACGAACTTCCAGCAAATTAATTCCACAAAGCACTTTGATGCTAAACCACATTCTTCTTCCAAGATGAACTTTCCAAAATCTATTTTCCCACAGACACATGAAAAATATACATTCCATTCTACAGAGAATTAAAGGAATAACTCTTGTAAATCCCTTCTAGGAAGCTTTGAATGGTTTAGAAGTTTCATAACAGGCTATAGAAACCCTGAGCTCTAGGTTGCCAGTTCAAACCTAGGTATGACAGGCTAGCCAACAACGACTGGGTATCCTTAAAGGGTTCTTTGCAAGGGTCGCCTGTACAGGACTTAGGTGGCCTCAGCCCCTTTTCACAATGACTGTCAGAGCTAAGAGCAATGCAGAGAAGTCTGTTGGTGTGAACACTGCCTTACTATCTCGCCGTGATGTGCTGGTTTTCAAAGGGCCTAGGAAGCTGGCTAAACTCGACAGGCAACCCAATTTGGTCACTAGTATAAAAACAGATGATGCTTTGTTCATAAAGACTATAATGCAATTATGTTAGTCCATATATTTTTATAACGATAGTTGCTTGTTAAATAAATATGCTATCGCTTTGATGAAATCGTAAGTATGGACAATGAAAGCAGTTGTACATATGACTGTTAAAAAGACAGAAATCATTTTGATGATTATTCAATCTCAATAAAGTGGCATGTTGAAGAAGAAAGGTAGGCCTATCTACAGAGTGTATCTGGGAGAGCGCTTACTCTGAAGAGAATTTAAACTCATGCTGGACAAGCAGCTGACCTCTCAGCATGTTACTAGACAAGCCAAACCACAGCACATATAAAACACAGGAGAAAAATGACAGAGGATAGAATTTTATTCCACACATGACAGTGATCAGATTATACTGGAATATTTTTATTTCCTGGATATATACTATCAAAGGAAACTGAAAAATTTCAAAGTGTATATGACAAGGATTTAAGAAAATGATTTGAGGGTAAGAATAAGCACCTGTCACTGAGATACCCAAAGTGTTCAGTTGTTTAGCTTAACGAAAAGAAGACTGCGAGTAGGTTTTGGCCACAGTAAATACACGCCTTCTGAACAAGAAAAGGTATCTGCTTTTCCAAAGGACACTTTAATCTTTTCCAGGAAAAATTAACAAGGACTGATGGCTGAGAAATGAAGCCATGAAAATCAAATTTAGAAATTATACTCATGTTTTAACAGGGAGTGTGATTTCCTAAGTGAACAGGCTACCAAGGAAAAACTGTTTAGCTGTAAAAAACATCAGTGGATATTCTCAAGATGAGAATGAGAAGACATGCTTTAACCAAGCACAGCTCACTGCACTATATACGTAAGTGGACAAAGGCTCTATGATTTACAGGATGGATCTTCCCAGCATTAAAACACATAATAAAGAATAAATAAACAAACTGCAGTGAATCTGCAGAGAAGAGCACATTCACTGATCAGGCTAAAAGAATCTGCACTGCCTTCCTAGTAACTTGCAAAGGCGACTTGGTGGTAGCCAACATGCCAGCTTCAGCACTACTAAAGTTCACACAGTAAAGAAAATCTCCCACACGCTGAAAAGTGAACAATCCCCCTAGCTGAGGAAAGGATATAGTTCAAGAATAATTGCCCAAGGAAAGCTCAGAGATGCACAGACAAGCTGCTTGGCTGTCCGAGAACGTCCAATCCAGCTGTACACAGGAAGTGACAAGAGACACTGAGCTACTGTTAAATACGCTGGGGCCCTGTGAGCATTCAGTGCTCAGGGCACGAACAATGGAAGAAGGACCTACGAGCTCTCCTTTTTGTAAGGGTCAGAGAAAACCTCAAAAGCCGTTTTCTGAAAGCCAAGGAGAACTGGATCACAGAGATCCATGAGGTGTGAGTGAGCGCGCTCACCTGCATTCGTCAGGCCGCGCAACGCGGGCTGCATCCTGCCCTAGCTCCATCACGTATCCTGGCAACCACTTCCCGCAGTGGGAACTTTACCCCGTGAAAGAAAGCGGCTTAGGGGACACAAAAGCTGTCTGCAGTGCCCTGACAGCCAGCCCTGAATGGAAGAATGAGATTCTGCTCAGCTCTCAAAGGCTCCTTTATGTAAAAAACGCCTTGAGAATCAGCAAAAACGATGAATCATGTCATCATGATGTTGGCAGCTCTCAATGATTTCACATACAAATATGCCACTTTACTGAGAGTCCTGAGAAAGGCTCTAATTGCAGAAGGTGGAACATTAGTATGCCTGACAGGGATACAGTGAAACCACAGTAACTCAGAAAGTGCCTTTCATTAATACCCTAAACATACAGATTATATACCAATATATAGATTATATATGTAAAATATATACACAGAGACACACTCATACAACATAACTCAAATTTGGTTCTTGTAGAGTTAGACTACAGATGAATCCAGTCACCATCATAATCATATCAATACGATTAAATAATCAGTATCATCTAGTTTAGAAAGCAAATAGCTCATACACCTTATCTATGCTCTTAAAAACATAAGCTCAAGAACAAGAGATAGTCACAAGTAGAAGAAATGCTCCACTTGTCTCTGAGGAACTGAAGAATTGAAGAAGTCCAAGTTTATCATTACCTCAGCTCCCTGGTTTTTAAATGAGCATTGAAGTACAACCAGATCTTTCATAAGTTTTGAGAGTATAGAGGTTGTGAAGTTCTCAGATAGTATGGTAAGAAATACAATCTAAATAAACTGGTTATCAGTTCCTGTACTTTTCCAGTCCAGAGCCACAGCTGTAACAGCACAAGTAGCAATATAACTTAGTAGAACAAAAAAAAAAAAATTAAGTTCCACAAAGTACAACCAAAGTTAGATCTCAAATCAAGCTCAGAAACCACTTCTAGACATCTTGAAGAAAAATGGCAAGAAGATCTCAATGGACTACAATATCTTATTTAATCTTCTGCTGGTATGAAATAGATTTTTGTATTCTCGGAATACAACATAAAAAAAAAATCTGTCTGTGTGTCTTCAGAAAGCTGTATGGATCACAATTTAGCTAACTAAGGGAAATTGTAAAAATTGTAATTCAAACAAGAGTAACTTAGTATTCCAACTCACCAGTGCTCCATGACAGGAGAGTAGTGAAGAGCAACAAAGAGAGGAAACGCCTGAGACACAAAAAGAAAAACCTGACCAAGAGAGCTGATCTATTTGCCGTTGTCATCTTCAACTACAACAGCAAGAAAGCTGCAGCTTTGGAGGAACACGTAGCATGCCAGTCCTAAAGAAGCAAAAAAGGCTCACTAGTCAAAATCAGAATTAGCAGCAATGTGGCAGAATTTAAGAATCCCTGTGATCTAGTATAACTTTAATAATGTGGGATTTGCTTTGCCTTCTTAAAAAAAGAAAGTCAATATTGTGAATCTGTTTTTAAACAATCATCTTCCCTTACCTTTAAAACTCAAAAAGTGAGTACTCAAAGTAAGCCCTGAAGCCAAACTACACTTCCATTCATACAGGATCTAGAACATCAATATATTTTTGTTAGGGTAGCCTAAGACAAACAGACCAATGTCCAGTCTTAAATCGGATAATGCAAGGGATTACAGCAGAAGCTTCCTGAGATAAATAGTATCACATCAGAAAGTGTCTTGGCTGCTATCAGGGAAAGGATCTAAACCCCAAAGGAGCACGAAAAATAGTTTTGTAACAAGGGTACTCGGGGAGGGCACAGTCAACTGATCTTAACAGTCATAAATCTAAAGCCCATTCCCTGGTGTCCCTTGCTTGTCTACAGACCAGAAAAAAAAAAAAAACTACAGTAAACATAAACCACAACATCAACAAAAAAACCCCAAACTCTCCCAAGACACACTGTTCATATGTGTTTATTTTCAGAAAGAACAATAACTCCTGTGTGGCCAAAAGCAATTTTCCTTTTTAGAGGTAGAGGGTTTTGCATGTTCACTAAAGTCTAAGAAAGAAGAAGGGAAACTTAGTCCCCAGTCCTGACACTAAAAATTTAAAAAATAAATATATATTAAATCAAGATGACAATGCCAATAAGTGCAGAAATGCTTCCAGCTACATCATTACTTGCAGATAAATAGATGTGTTCAGACACGAGACTACTCCTTTGTTTTTACCTCATGATCTGTTCTCCCATACTTTGTCTTTGATAAATTGTGCTGCTCTGGGATGCATAGTTGCCTCAAAGACTTTTCTCCTCCTGGTATACCAAGCTGGATTCAAATAATCTCTGTTAAAATAACTGTATAAAATTATGTAGAACATCTATGGTTGGATTACATTATGCTTCCTCATGTCAAGGCAGCTTTTGATCTTTGAATATCCCTAGAAATAAAAGGAACTAATTAGGAAATAATAAGATGTCAAGCCATGTAAGATCTTCATCTGTAGTAGCAGGATGGAAAACCAATCTAGCAAAGTCTATGCACTTTCCAGTAAGTGTCTTTTGTGGCAGCTCTCTAAGAGAGCCAACACCTCCTCAATTCAGCACAGGCCTTGTGGCTGGCAAGGTGCCATCCCAGCCACAGACGATAAAGAACATTTTACAATTGGTATATTTATTACAGCTCACCCAGGATGGTGGCCAAGCCACAGTTGAGCTTGCTCTCATTGTTCACAGTTCACTGATATGAGTCATGTCTCCCACTCACCATTTTTATACCTGTTATTACCTTCAAAGTCTGCCTCCAGCTTCCTACCACTTGCTTCCACTGCACCCTCTATCTCACATAATTAATATACTAGAATTTCATACATCCGGGTTTCACACATGGCAAAGACCGAGGGAAATGCATTCCATCAGAGCATTCCCTAGCCCTGTATTTCATCTCAAAATTCTGCCTGTGCTTTCTCCTCTGCAATCCAGTGGCCTCTAATTAAAAAGACACCCTAGTCCATTTTTTGGTTATTTGTTTATTCTATGCTAAACAAGGTAAAATAAGATCTTTGTTCAGAGTAAGTCATAGAAAGTTCAGCTATTACAGAAAACACTACTTCTTTTAATATTTCTTGCACAGTTTGCTGAGCTAGCAGCCATCCTGTTCGCTTTACTTTACCCAGTCTCCCAAGACTGGTATAACAAGAGAATAAATCTAGCTTTCAACAGAATAGACAATGTAAGGCAATTCCTGTCTCTGTTAATGGGAAAACAACACATGTCAGTGTGCAAAATGAGTTGCCTGAAACAGAAGAATGAACGCATCTTCATGGCATTTTAACCTTCAATGATATTTAGAGTGGACTTTGACCCACCAAAAAATAGCCAAGCAATCACATTCATTTCAGTATGACTGTCCTGTTAAAAGTGAGGTCTCAACTGGGCAGTGCAGTAATGAATAAGCTGTAACTAATATACATATTAGTCCTAATATACTAGGGCTATATAATATACTAACTAATATACATACTATAATTAGCCCATAGAAGCTAGGTTAACGTTAGCAAACAGCATGCAGCAGAGGAGAGGATCTGTGAAGTACAACAGCTGTTGAGGATGTGGCCCACATAGCTCTCGGCGTGGGGCTACACAGACCCACGGCCAGCCTGATCCCGTGGACAGAGCGCCCACTGGCAGTGGGGAGGCCCGGTGCTCTCCCGGGCTGCACCCACTGGTTTAGGCTCCCACAGCGGGAATCCCCTTTGTGCCCTGTGAAAGGGCTCGGCAGTGCCAACAGGAGCATCCTGAGGGGGAGAGCACGCAGAAGGACCCCAGGAGAGTGCTCCTCACTCACGGGGAAGCATCAGCACAGAAGTATCCTGGCCGTCTCTGGATCTCTGATAAACTCAGTCAAGTTTATCATTTGTACACAAAAACGCCTTGCTCCCCCTCGCTGAATACCAGAACATTTAATATGCATATTTCTCCTTTCTGCTTGCAAGCTGGTGTTACTTGGCAGAATGCACAGAGGCACCTGCTATTAAATCACTGGAATCATGTCAAGAACTGAGTCAGAGCTTTGAAGCCCAAGCGAACTATGGCAAAAGCTTAACTCTAAGTATTAGGTCTGTTTGCTTGAAACCTTACGGAGTATTTCTTAACACAAAACCCAGTACTTTGTTGGCAGTGCCTTTCTAAAAACAATAATGATATTAAGAAAATGAAGAGAATCTCAAGATATCAGGGTGGTGAGAAGGATTCTATCACTCTTTGTCTTACACTTGTTAAATAATAAGAATCTGCATTTTAAATGTTCCAAAACACTAAGGATTATTAGTGTCATACACTTCACCCACATTTTCGTACTACAACATCCAGCACAATTCATGTATTTCTATGAAATGTATTAACTCTATCTACTCATTCTAAAATGCGTATATATATAAAAATACATCCATACATAAATTACACATATATAGTAGCACAGATACATGAATGCGCATGTACTGAAGATACAGACATTAAACTAAAGGGGGGAATTTTGGTAACCATGGAACAGTTCAGATCTCTAAAAACATCACCCTAATCCTGCTTTTTGATAATTAAACTGACAAGAGACTGATTTTTGAATGACAAACTACTAAATAAAATGATCTCTGTTGGTTCTAAGAAGCAAGTGATATCAAAAGTTGATTCATTGTCTCTGCCAGTAGAGCACACAAACTCTGTAAAAAAAAGAAAGTCTTTAAAAATAGAAAGTTTAATTAAGAGAGCAAAAACGCTGTTTTCATAACTGTGAACAGTCACTTACCTATACAAGTGGAGTTTTCAGTCTCTTGTCTGTATCCATTAGGACAGTTCCAGTGCTGCAGAGCTGAAAGGCTGACAAAACCAATTTTTAAAAACACTGGCAAAAAAGCAACAAGGAAGAGAAACATAATATTGAGTTTTTCGAACTGTTGTTAGAGGAAAACAGGCTTGTATTGGGTCATATCCAGGACAAAACGAACATGTGTAATCCCAAAACGTTTCTGCAAACTCCTGCTTTACACTCAGGCATATTAACACAATATGAAGTTTTATCTTTGTCTTGCTTTTCTCGCCACTTTAGTCCTTACTGTGTCTGAGTACAACCTTGAAGAAAATCCTGGGGGGTTTCTTCCCAGCACATGTCGTTTTCTCTGTCTCTGTCTCGCTCTCTTTTTTTTTTTTTCTTTTTGGAAGCCAAGTATGAAATGCCTGACACTCTTGCCACAAATTTAACACAGTGTAAAAGCAGAACTTGCAAAGATCACTGCAAATTTCCTTGCAACCAGCAAGGCTGCTGTTCAAATCTTAAATGCAAGAAACTGAAAAACTGTTCACCAAAGCCCTCAGCAGAGTACAGGGAGCAAGATCTCCAGGTGCCGTCCTTCTCCAAAATGTAGTTGCTCTATACATGCACGCTTGGAGGGACTCATCTTTCTTTTTAAAGCTCTGCTTGCCCCACCTCTTCTCTATTTAGTACCACTCGAGTGAACACTGTGTTTGCAAATAGTAATGCGGCCAGTAGCTTTACTACAGGGAACTGAGCCAGAATGCAGATACCCAGCCACACACAATAAATACATTCTACAAAGGGAGCCCTTCATGTTTGAGAAGTACCTGCTGCATACCAACTAAGTTTTACTTCTCAGAGATTGTAGTCTGATTTATATATGCATTATACCATGCATGTTCAATCACGATGAGTCATATTCATTTTTATAATGTTGTGTTTTACTACCAGAGACAAACTTTGTTCATGTGAACAAAGCAAAACAAAAAAAAAAATCCCTTTAGTTCCCCCAATCTATTTTAGCTGGAAAATTCCCATTGGCTTAGGATCACCCTAGGGTCAGCCTGTGTACATGTTCACCATTCTGAATTTACAGAAGTTACAACCTATGCTCAGATCTGAATATGGCCCTTCTGCAGTTCCAGAAAAAAACATACTGTTAGAATCCAAGACAATATGTTCTGAGTCTGCAATATCTCACGCATACTCTAATCATTTATATAGGCACATAAGTGCTGTAAAATGCTACTGGTCTGATACAGCGCTCTTTTACTGTATGAGGGAAATTCCAGGTGTGTCCAGCTCACTATTCTTCCAGTATTAAAAAAATTCTCTTTTTCCCTAATCCTTTCCCTATTTCTTCTCTAATTCCCTAATTAGCAAGGCTCTAGGGCACAAGCATAAGTGATTTGCTGAACTTTTAATGGGCTGAGAGTTAAGCAAGTATTTAAGTGGCTGACTGCACCAAGGTTTGCTGCTCTAACAGTTATGAAACATTTTAGTTCTGTTGCTTTTTTCTTTTTTTTTTTAAATTAAACTTCTGCAGTATTATGCTAGAATAAATAGTAATACAACAGCTGGAAACACCAGCAGCATCACACAGTAACTTACAGCTGCGCGAGTTGCATCTCTGGGAATTCTTTGCCTCTCTATTTGCCTGAATTGATAAGAGTCTAAATTTGCACTAAAGAAAATAAGAAGCGTGAATATAAACGCTCCACAACCCTCCAACAAAAGCAACTGTTTCTTAATGTTTCTGTGCCTGTGTAGTCGTATTCTGCTTACTCAGTTCTCACTGTTACAACTAATGTAACTAATTAAATTCGGACTGACAAATGGAAGCCACGCTTTCATGTACCCTCTTCAGAACTGAGTGTCTATTCTGCACGCTATAAAATACAATAATAGTAATGTAAATTATGCAGGGACAGATTCATGCCAAACAGCACTTTTTTCTCCAAGTAGTCCCCTGAAAAACAGAAGGGGAACCAATGTGAAAGTGTAATAATGCTACACCATCTAGGATTACAGGATCCTGCCCAGGAACTGTGGTATGTTCCACATGAATCTATTTTACTAATTTTGTAGCTGCCGATTCCTCCTCACAGTTTTCCTCTGTGTTCAAGCTGGGAGCACACAACCTAAAAAGCTCCAAAGGAATGTGTCACTCTTCTGTGAGTAACCACCAGCAGGGCGCTTGCTAGACTGGGAGGGCAGCCATCCAAGTAAGTGCTCTGACCTCTTCCAAGGAGACACAAACTCACTAAAAGGGACAAAATGAATAAGCTCTCCACTAAAACTGAGGCAATTTTTGTTACTCCACAGGCCTCCACACTCTTTTAGTTTCTCCTTCACATATACTGCCTTTGCCAAACATCTTCAATCCTTCCTCCCATTTTTTTCCACTTTTTGCCTTTACCCCAAAACGGAAGCCAAAGGCACGTCCCAGAATCTCTTTCTTCTCTTGAAGATAAAAACAGAGAGAGAAAAGTCTGACATGTTGATACAACAATGAACTTTTCTGGGAGAAGATAACCCTTCACTGCGATCAGAAAGAGACTGGTTAATAAACTGACTCATTTCACTGTCCCAGAAGTATAGGAAGGTTTAAAAAAAAAAAAAAAAAAAAAAAAAAAACAGAAAAATCTCTTAATAGTGGGATTTTCTTCCCTTCAAAACCAGATATGCCTCAGACCAGAACTAGTGGCCAGATCCTGTGTGATACCTGGGCCTGAGGATGTAAATAAGTTACTCAAAAGCAGATATAACCAATTATTTTCATGTAGACCAAACCAGAAAGTTCTCAGGGAAGTACCAAATTACATCAGGCTGCACCAGAGCTAAATTTCCAAATGTAGTATTGTTCACCAATTAGTTCAGAAGACAAACACTATAATTCTTTCCCACCTAAAATCATTTAGCATTTAAGGAGTTGTTTCAAATATATTTCTGCAAAGCAAGGTAATGTTCACATGATCAGCTAGTAATGGCAGTAATTTACAGTAGGTTAGTATTCATGCAATAAATTAGACTACGCTTACCTATGAATCAGTCCAATGTTCTTAAAACTATCTTTCCTGATGCACTAAATGCTAAGAACCAACCTAGTTGAATTTGACCTGGCAGTCTCAAGAGACTAGTAAACTAATGGTAAGTAAACACCCTTCTTTTCCTTTCTATTGGACTTCCCACTCTCTCATCTCGCTTTGGAAGGTTTTCTTTGGTTGGTAAAGACCAGCTAGTGATCCAAGTGAAGAGATCTCTTCCTCTACCGTGCCACAGAGCTGCAATTATTGAGTTCAAGGACACAATGTTCTGGCTGTTTCTAAGTTATGAAGGAAATGCAGTTCTCCCTCACTTTCCCAGGGCTTTCAGTATCTATATTGTGTTAATTAGCACATTGTTTAAATCATATATTGGCTTTTATTCTTGCTTACTACACATTATGCTAACTTGTCAGCACTTCAACTTCTTATCCTGTAAGCCTCTGGAAGTGGATTCTAATCTGATTAAAATTATATTTTATAGGCACCACAATCCTAATTCCTACCAATACAGGTTAATGACAAAATAAAGACACTTAGTTCCCGGAAACAGCATTAAAAAAAAATAGACTGATTATTTTTAATATGAATGGACTAGAGCAGCAAGAAACTGTCAGATATGCACAGTCTGCACCAACAGCTTCAAGTTCCTTCCCTGTAGCCCAAGTGATTCTACTAGGGCTTGGGTCAAAGAACTTACAGAAACATAGGACTTTTGCAACCAGAGCAGGAGCTGACAAAGGCAGCTGATTAATAACACTGATGATTTCTAACAAGAAAAAAATAAAAAAGTGTAACATTTTTGTAAACTCTACCTTACACCGAGTCACCTAGGTCTGATGTCAGGACTGCCAACTCTGATAAGCATGCTTCCTCTGATCTAACAGTGCTTCACTTGGTACTGCTAATGTCCTTTCAGCAGCTTGAATCCTGAAAGGATAACTCTGGCATGACAGACCTTATACAATACAAAAAGTGCCTGCCAGAGCTGGAGGGGAGGCACAGCATGAGAGAAAGTAGCATATTCTTGTTATATCTAAAAGCCAGGAGTGCTCGAAATCTCCACATGGAGTACAATGGTCATTCCTTTTTGGCCTCAGGCAGGTTACTTACTGTTCTCTTCAACAATCTGGAGATGATATTTAGCTGAAAGGATGCTGTTAATTTATCAGTAAAATTAATGAGCATAGCTTCAATTAAGAAAATTTTATGACAACAAAGTGCTCTTGTAGGTAATCTCCTTCCAGTTGTCTCAGTTTATTTCATAGCAACAATGACAAACACCTCCCCAGTTCTATTTTGGCAGTCTGAATTTCATATCATTTCCGATAGGGTTACAATTTCTCCTATTATAATTTGATAATAAGGAAAAGAGACACACACACAAAAGAAAAACCTCACAAACCACAATGTTAGTTATAATATCTTATCTTAAATAGATAATCTTATCTTAAAGATAATATATAGGATATATTTTTTTAATTATCTTTTTAAAATCAATGTTATCATTTTTAAAAGCATTTTGACGTGTCCCTTTCACAAGCGTCTGCACTGTGAGTATTTCCTTCATCGGACACATCACACTACAATCCACAGAAAGATCCAGAAAGTTAAATATGCTGTGTCATATCCACACAGTCAGAGCACCATGAAACATTCTGGGGAAGTCGCAGAGTACATTACTGACTGGTGTCATTTGTCACTGCTAGATGACTACACTAGACCCCTATTATAAGGAATAGTTAAAATAGCATGAAGAAGTAGTATTTGTCTGTTTGAAGCGAGGTGAAAACTTTAGCAGGTCTTTAGTTATTATGACAAAGGTCTCTGCAGTTTAGTATGCAAGAGCATTTAAGAAAAAATGTTAGCATGACTTCACTACTGCAGGTCAAAAACCATCTTCTCCCCGAAGCTTTTACCTCTCAGTTACTTTTCATCCCAGAGATAGCCGTGTTTCCCTGACAGTGCCATGGATCCTAGTACACGAACTGGAACCAGTCTCTCTAGATGTCAGAACAAGGGCACTGCCTGAAATCTGGCCCTGATTTTCAGAGTTGATACGTATTCAAGG